CCATCACACAGTAATCTCGTGCGTGGGAAATTAACGTCTCCTACCCCAAAACTCTGCAGGAGACGGGACCTCCGGCTTAACGTCTTATCCGAGAAGACGAAGCAAGGTGAGTGAAGCGACTTGCCTAAGGCCACAACGTAGTGCCCCATCCAGGAGTCCGACCCAGAGTCCAGCCGTCCGACCCAGAGTCCAGCGCTCTGACCACTGGGCCACTCACGCCTCACAGTCAAGTGTAAATCAAACAATAAAAATCACCATGCGTTAAGGGAAAAACACAAGTTATTTTTAGGTAATGTATATTTCGGCATTCTTAACAAAATCTTCGAGAAATTCTGATGGACAACCCGCTAAAAACAAGACTAAGATTACTACAAGTCACACATCAATTCACAAAGTTCGTTTTGTTTATCGAGAACGAAATGGGTTGCTATATTAAATGAAACATTCTTTAAACGAGAGGAAGTCAGATCAAAGTAATGGTATATTTATTTATTTAACAGCTTTATTGGGTACGTCTACATGGATAGACATACGCCAAAAGGGTCAGTGCGAACGGGACATGGAGTCCCATGCGGGGCACTACCCTTAACACTAAAATCCACCCAACCCAACCCAGGGGAGGACATCCATCACACAGTAATCTCGTGCGTGGGAAATTAACGTCTCCTACCCCAAAACTCTGCAGGAGACGGGACCTCCGGCTTAACGTCTTATCCGAGAAGACGAAGCAAGGTGAGTGAAGCGACTTGCTTAAGGCCACAACGTAGTGCCCCATCCAGGACTCGAACCCGGGCCGTCCGACCCAGAGTCCAGCGCTCTGACCACTGGGCCACTCACGCCTCACAGTCAAGTGTAAATCAAACAATCAAGTGTAAATAGTTGTTTGGCAAGACGTGGTAAACAGATTTGATTTCCGACGAACTTGATGAAATGTCCCCCAACAAAGTTCTTTGGAGTATAGTATGCGGCACCACAAGCGGGATTATCGCCGCATGGCTTGTCTTCAAATTTTTGGAAAGGAAAGGATGTGGACCGAAAGGAGCGCGAGAGGACATCAGAGAAGTGAAAGACGAGCGGGATGATTTTAACAACCGTGCGGAAAAATTGCCTGAAGAAAATGATGAAAGACTCGAGGAAAGGGCTGAAGAACACGAGGAGATGCATTATTAAGGTCGGTGTTCAAATTTCATTTCAGTTGAAATGCTTCCATCATCCTTTGATAAACGCCGACATTACACGCCTCTAGAACTGTGAGAAGTTGTATTTCAGTTTTAGCTAATTTGTGTTGTTCCACGTCAGTGTTTCTTAGTGTTTTTTACATACGCTTCTCTTTTTGCGAAAAATACGATTTTTACGACTTCTTAAGGTGTGATTTACAATTTCCCATTTGCATCACAACCTGCGGGGTGCTGGGTCTGTGTTTTTGTAACACTCGTGTCAGTTGTGTTCTTGTGTTAGGATATGAACTTGATTCGTTTGTCTCACGGTGAAGTCACTTTGGATGTTGATGGCGACTGCAACACTGCCAGTCTTCATCAGGCGATGAGGTCGATTGTTTACGTGTTGCTACTCGTAGCACGTTGGTTCTCCTACAGGTGCCCTTCGATCTCCATTAATCTTCCGGTTGGTATATGGTGTTCCCTTATTGGTCCACATTGATTGACTGCTGTATGCTGCCCTATTTGATCGTGTGTATCCAAGCGTCGGGAATTTTTGATTCCGCTATCCGGGTTGAAGTCGTTGGGATGAAGTCTTATATGGATAACCTCTTGACAGTGACTCCATCGTGAGACAAACGAATAAAGTTCATCTCCTGTCTTACTCCACGATGAACAACTGAATAATCTCCTGACTTAAACCACGATGAACAATAACCTCAATAACTTTGTTACATAACACTTGCGTGTTGGTGCGTGGATAACACGCAACAGTGGCAGCGAAGAACCAAATGTAATGCGTGATTTAACTGATGGTCGAATGGTTTGTTTACATCGAAAATCACGTAACACTACACGTGAAATCTAACACGGAAAAGATGAATTGTATGGAAACTGAAAAATCATTGTTAGGTTAAGAAACCCTGGTGATGCGATTTTTGTGTTTAATTCAATAGATATAAAGAGCTGTCAAGGAAGAACTTTTACCGTACCGTGGACGTTTGCTGTGTGAAACAAAGATTTTTTGAGCAAGATTAGTCAAGATTAATTTTTAGAGCTGATACTCTATATGTTACAACTTATTTGTCATTGGTCATAAGTTATTAGTGTAGTGTTTTGGAATTCTGTATATAGAGTTTATTATGATTTACTAAGAGTCATAACTTGTCGATAAAGTAACAATCTCCGTCAATGACTGTCAAACATTTGTGAGTAGTCAGGGACTGTTTGTAGGCTATCAAAATACGAAGTTATATGTGAAGGTTTTAGAATCCTCTAAAGCTAGTTTGTTATGATTTAGTGTGAGTTATAACATGTCGATAAAGTAACAATCTCCATCGATGACTGTCAATCATTTGTGAGTAGACAAGGACTGTTTGTAGGCTATCAAAACATGAAATATTTGGTAGTTCAAAAGCAAAGTGTCGTCTGAGGTCCCTTTTTTCAAGATCTTTAGGTCTTAAGTGCATTTGAAGTTTTGTTGTCAACCGGAGTAAACATTAAAGAAGATCGTACTGTTAGCGCGTGTTTTGTTTTGCTGGACTAAGCGGAGTTAGATAAAATGACGAACCATTGAAAGAGGAAAACTTAACAGACTCCACACGAATACATAGTGGTTTATTTGATCATAATTCTGATAACAACGTAGTTTAGTTTGGGTATTCTCATGACCTTTTTACAGGATAATATATAGATATTATCGGGAGAAGCTGCTTGTTCATCACTTCAGGGTTTATTTAAAGTCGCTCTTTTGTGGCGTCCTAAGCTTAGCCCGAGGCCCATCTTTTTAGGCTTTTGATTTCGACTTGTCACAGCATAGAGAGGTTAAGAATTTGAAATTCGTCGTGCTTGACAAGACATGTCACAAAATGTTCAAACGCCATGGAAACGGTGCTCTTCAAAACTCGGTGACTTTATATCCAGCAGAATATTTCGAGTTCGCGAGTGTTGTGGAGGCGCACTGAAGAACACTTAAGGCGTTTCAGTCGCGAGACGTGGTGAATAGATTTGGTTTCCGACTAACTTGATGAAATGTCCCCCAACAAAGTTCTTTGGAGTGTAGTATGCGGCACCTTAAGCGGCATTATCGCGGCGTGGCTTGTCGTGAAATTTTTGCAAAGTAAGGGTCGGGACCGAAGGGAGCGCAAGAGGAGATCAGAGAAGTGAAAGACAAACGGGATAATCTTAACAACCCTGCAGATAAACTGCGTGAAGAAAAGGATAAGAGATTCGACAAGGGGGCTGGAGAACACGAGGAGATGCATTATTAAGGTCGGTGTTCAAATTTTTACTTCATTTGAAATGCTTCCATCATCCCTGGGTAGACGCCAACATTACACGCTTTTAAAACCGTGAGAAGCTTGTGATGTTGCACGTCAGTGTTTCTCAAGTTGTTTCATTTAGATACACTTCTCTCTTTGCGAAAAATACGATTTTTACGAACTTTTTGTCCTTTTTACACCAGTAGTTAATGAAATTTGCAATTTTTGGGAAAGAAGCGCGTAACGTCAGGTCACAAAAAATATTAAGTGAGTTGTGATTTCGGGGTAACTCCATAGTGTAGCATCCGAAGAATCGGTGGCCAGTTACACATAACTGAGGAAGGTACTGAAACCCTAGTTACGCAATTTTTCTTTTATTCGACAGATATAAAGAGCTGCCAAAGAAGAACGTATACCGTAGCTGGCATTTGCTGTGTGCGAACTTAATGAGCGAAGAAGTTTTAGAGCTGGTATTTCCTATGTATAACAATTTATTGGCCTCAGGTCATAAGTTGTTAATGAATGTTTTGGAGTACTCTACTGATATTTTTTTATGATTTACCGCGAGGTATAACTTGTCGATAAACTAACAACTTTTCGTTGGCTATCAACACATGAGATGTCTCGTTTAACGACTGAGAACGAACGGTAAACAAACGATTGTGTGACTTTCGAATTGACTTTTCCTTATGCAAATTATTTTGTGAAAAGGTTCGGGGAATCCCCTATCCGTAAATGACGTCATGTCTCACTTCTGTGGCACAGAATCACACGAGGAAATTTGAACTAAAGTAAAACCGCGACTTGGTCATACACGTGTTAATGACAGCAATGGAATTGCTGAAATGAGTTATGAAAATGTTTTTCAGGAGATGAATTTTTTTTTTAAATCAGCAACTTGCTTGTTCTCACACGGTAAGGAGCTTTTCGATATTACCTGCGGAAGAAAATAGTATCGTGAAATAATTCGTCGCCTAGATACGAACGCCCTGCTGTGAAACTGTCGTGTAAGAAGTTTTTAATGGTTGTACCTCTATTACGTTTTGCAAAATAGACGCAAGGCACCAGAATAATCTATGATAACGATCTCATAACTTAACACCATTAGTACTCGACCAGATACACAAAGCAAGAAATTGCAGAGGTAGGAATACAAACACACCAGTGTCAAGAGTATGTAATGACTTGTGGGCTGCAATGTCAGCCTCTACCGATTCTCGAGTAAAGTGTTGACACAATTCTTCTGATTCAAATCAAGAGAATTGCTAATTTATCATTTTATGATATCGTAGTTGTCCAGTCACCAGAATTCAAGCTCGACAGAGGCACAGAACCAGAGTTTCAGATTTTAATATTAAAATATTTCATAGATTATTGTTATAACTTCTCAGTTGAGGAGAAGCTAGACGAATGCCTCAGCGGTAAATGTGCTGCGTTTGATCGGGACCGCCCGCGGGTCACCTCGATTGTCCGGGAAGAGTGGAATAGAGGGTGTGTACTTCTTTCACGCTGGATACCTGAAGAAATTCAACGCTGCGCAAGCGCTAAATCATGCGCTGGGCTTGATCAATAGTGTGGCTCAATGGACTTCACCTACTCTTCTGCTAAGGTAAAAAAATGAACGAAGCACGTCCTTGTGAAAATCAAAAAGCTTGTTTCAAAATGGTCATGGTAGATGCTTAAGAAGTGAACTGAAAGAATTGCATTCAAGGCAATGAGTTTTAAATGTGGATCTCGTACATTGAGATCCTCGTTAGTCAGTCAATAGATGGATGATTTTTGCCGCTGTCCATTTAACCCTTTAACCCCTAAGACTGACTAACATCTAAGTTCTCCTTACAACATCACCACTGAATCAAACTTTAAGGTCAGGAGAATAAAGGAGATGATCACCAACTAGAGAAGCTCTTGATTGTTCAACAAATTCTCCTTGTCAGAACCTTAGGAAATTTCAAGGGAGTAGTATGGAGAATATTCATACTGATGTTAGGGAGTCGAGGGTTAAGCAATACTGAGACTGTACGTTCTCTCTGTTACCAGCGTCTTAAGCCACGCGGGATGTTAGGAGAACAAGAGAGAAGTGTGTAAATCACGAGCGGGAGGCGAGTGATTTACACTAGTAAACCGATAGAAAGTGGGGTATATTTTATTTATAAAATAAACTTAAAACAAAACGCAGTATGTTTTGATTTACTATGGGTCTAAACGACAGGTTTTTGACCAATCGGGTCGCTCGTAGCATCTCAGATGTTTTATATATAGGGTAATTTGGTTTTATCAACTGCGTTGTTAGCGTGAGTCGGAAACTTACCCCCTTTATTTTATAAATAGCCTGATTTATTGCATCTTTAGTTGAGTTGTTGTTCTTTTTTTTTTTTGTCATCCTGTATGTGAATGTGTGTGGGTCCTCAGTTTGTACATCAATATCAAATGCTCTGAAATCTCATCAAAATTAAACATCAAGAACTTTTCAGTGTTAAAGCTGCAGTTAAAAGAACTACATAGTCGTTTTGTTTCCCTTTTTCTTTCGTAACAGGAGCTTCGTGAACTTGTTGGTCTTCATCATGACGTTCAGCTTCTCTGTCTTGAGTTACACGTGAAACAGTTTGTTGGTCAAAGGCTGTTGCCTTTACTGGAGAAAATGGACCCATTTGACAGGTGAGACAACAAAGCTACAAGTTAAAATATCATTTTTATTTACATAAAATATCGATATAAATATTTCGATAAAGTTTGCTTCACAAGGCAAGATCATTCCATTGAAAGTTAACAATTAAGATGAAATGAGTGTTGAAAGCTCTGAAAATATATATAATCGAAGAGAGAGAACGAGGTCATCGTAATTGTGCGGTTTGGATCATTACCGTATTCCAACCAACCAGCGTTTTCCAGAACATTTTGAGAAACCGCAAGATTTTACAGCAGGCAAAGTTTAAATCTCGAAACCAGTTAAAATGCTGTAAATGTTTGCTTTTTCGTCCTGATTACTCAAAACAAACTCTGTGATCATTAGATTTTTATTCTGAGAAAGGAAAACTAGATAGATAAAATATGAATGAATAAAAGAATTCATAAAAACGACTTAAAGAAAGATACCCTTGAGCTGCGTGGCACTAATTAGCAAAGTGTTCAGTAAACATGAACAGAAAGGTGCCATGTTTTGGAAGATGGTTTCAAAAGTTTTGGGCCCGACCTTTCATCAGTGAAAAAAAAAAGGCTCGTCGAATGATAATTGTTAACCAAATGAAATGAAATGACATACATTGAAATACGACATTGAAATCATTTTTTTTTTTCATTACCTATTTTTCCTCAGTGAATTCCTGCGTTTGTATCGCGTGGTTCGTGGTCTTCTTTGTGGAGGAGGCAAAGTTTTTCCAGCCATGGTCCTCGATAATATCTAACGGGCGTAAGCTAAGTTTCGTGGTACCATTGTCTCCATAGCAAATCCTGATAACTGTTCTTCTCGGGCTATCATCTGTTCGTATCGGGTTATCTCACTACTGCGACTTTGTGACGCTATATTCTTCATAAATATTCTTGATAAATAACTTATATCAAAAGTTTGATAGATCCATTTGCGACCTGTACTTTGTAGAGGATCGTAGCCAAGACTTCGCCGTAAATCAATTAGGTGTCCCTTTCCTTTCGTAACCTGTAGTGTTCATTGGGGATGTTACGGTTTCGAATCCATTCGAGTTAGAGAAAGGTTCTGAGTCAAACTTAACAAGATAATAACGAAGAACAAGTTGTTATGTTACATCGGTGGTCAAGTGAACCACTAATTTGATTGTCAACTAAAAGTGGATAAAGGGAAATTAACCTTGAAATACAACGGACCGAAACGACCTGACTAAACATGGCGATAATGTGGGAACATGCAAAAGGATTTAGAATGACTGTCACGCCCTTATAGTCAGCTGAAAGGCATCCGTTATTTGATTTGATGATTTTATTTAATGTGGGAACATGTTAATGTTATTGTACATGGGAATGTTATTCATTTATTAGGAGCGTGGAACAAAGAAAAAATATGACCCTTCTGCGGATTTTCGAATCTCACTACCCTCAAACGACCTGATTAAACATGGCGATAATGTGGGAACATGCAAAAGCCCTTATAGTCCGCTGAAAGGCATTCGGTGTTTGATTTGATGATTTGATTCAATGTGGGAACATGTAAATGTCTTATTAATTTATTAGGAGCGTGGAACAAAGAAAAAAAAATGACCCTTCTGCGGGGTTTCGAATCTCCATACCCTCAAACATCCAAGCATAACGTACATGCTTGAGATCTTTATTCTGAATTGGTCTTCACGTATCGTAAAATTGTGGATGAATATCCGCCTAATGCGCAGTAATTCCCTTCTGACGTAAAGCAGTATCAAAGCTGATACAACAGCCAGTCGTTTCGAACCCGATAATAAATATTATATTATCAGCGCTATACATGATTAACGAAATTCGAGCTGAAAGATAATTTTGAAGAATATTTCGGTTTCCAAATTTATACTTATGTCAATAGAACAGTCACCGATCGCAGTACAAGGATTTTAAACCTCTCTTTTGAGCATATCTCAAATGTCCAGCGTTACACTCATAGCTGAGGCTTTTAGCCATATCGTGTACAGTTTTACACGCGGTGTAACAGAGCATTGCAACCCAGAGGAACCTGAAATTACGGCGCGGGTTTTTGATCCTCTATTAAACAATGGACGCGAGTGGTTTCACCATCCTGTCGACGAGGTCATTTATCAACAATACAGCTACAGAAAAGCCACGGCTCAGGACTATCTACCTTCCAGCGATGTTTGTGCAAGGCTTATCGACGCCTCTTCAGTAGAGAACCCAGAAGTACCAGAAAATCAAACAGAGGAAGATGATGCAATGGCTTGGAAGCGACTCAGACCATCCGTTCTCCTTTCAGTTTGTCAATCAATGTACATTGGATCTTTGATTTCGTTTTTAACGGCTACCTTTGTAGGTTCAGTGTTCATACTGACATCGTACATATGTTACGAGACTGTAAACTACTGCCAATTCTACCCAAAGGAGTCTATTCCAATAGGAATACAGTGGATGAGATCGATCTCGGATATCATTGCCTGTGCCTTCCTTTACATTTGGTTCTTGGTGTATTTGCTATTTCTTTTCCGTCCGTATCAGTTAAAAGGAGTGAAAAGAAAACTATTTTTAGTCTGTTGTGTGACGTACTGCTTGGATTCCCTTTATCGCTTGGGTCTTCAAGTCCTGAATATATCTCATTCCAATCTATCTTCAGTGCAGAAGATTCCGATAAATATTTTATTGGTGACGAACGATTGCGTCCAGGCATATTTATTGACTAAACATTTCCGCCCTACAACGAAGAAAGGACAGCTGATTTTGTTCCTTCAACTGATAGTACCTGCTTATTTTCGTTTGTTTCTAGCCATTCCAGTGGCATCGTTGATTTATCCAGCTTACAATAAACAAGACAATGAAGGGAAATTACTAATCGCTCTATTTGCTCCTCTCATTGGAGTCGTACTCGAAGTCATCTCACGAATTTTTCTTCAGCGCTTATGCAACATTACTCATCCGGGATATTCGTATGTCTTACTGGCGCCGTTGTATTGCGCTTCGGCGGTTATGTTCCGCATTTTACAAGCGGAACTAGATAGCTTAAAGTCCATCGCTATTATTGGGATTATTCACGGCGCTGCAGAGGTCATAGAACGAAGCACCATGGTTGCAATTGATCATCTCTGCCATGCGATCCTGAAAAGAGGATCAACTCCTTGGGGAGGTTTTCGCACTCCTCGCCGTGAGAGACTAATGGCTGATATCGCCATCATGAGCATGTTATATGAATCAATTGCTATAGTGTCTGTAAACGGTGTTTTATACTTGTATCAAATGATATACTTACAAAACGAAAGCTTTGTAAATTTACTCAAGTATTTTGCCATTTTCACTTCTGTTCCACTGGCGATCGAGTGTTTCTTTATCACCCTGTCGATTATGATCGCTACCCGCTATCAGAATATGCCTATCATGGCCATATGGCGAAGAAGATGGAAAAGACATATAGTTCTGGCGATTATTACATCAGTATCTATAGCAAATTGGACCAGTACAAACCTTTTAACGATTGTCCATCAGCGCTTTGCTGAAGATTCGTCAAATAAGACTTGTAAAATGCCGTTTAGTTAAATTGGTATATGATTACCACCTTTGCTTCCTCAAAATAGGATACTTTGTAGATGCATTTTTGTTTTGTTTTTCGTCAGTTTTCTATTCTCGGTGTCTTGAATGGTGTGTGGAGCAAAAGGAGCAGAAATTATGTAGGAACAGAAATTGTGACTGATTATGCAACCCGCTGTGAAATTATTGCTTCTGAAATTTGTACACGTTCTCATCTCACTAATTAAAAGCAGCCATCATACTTGTTATCCTGTGGCTTAAGATTCGTTGCTGTCGATGTTACAGCTGAGTTCTGAACCAAGAAGTCGAGCGGAGTGTCCGGCATGACTACGCTCTGGATTTTAGGGTCACGACTGTGGAGAGAAGGTAAGGCGGTTTTGAAAAGAATGCCGCACTCTCCCCATGCGAAATCTTCTTGAAATTACCTTCTCCCCCTGGAAAAGGTTTCGTGTTTAGAACCTCTGTCATTTGGTTTTAAACGAATCGAAACTCCTTAATATTATATCTAAGCATACTCCTGATGGTATTGTCTTGCTGATATCAAACAATACTAACAACCCTGTATTGCTGATTACACGACAAACATTGCATGTGAAATGAAAACCAAAGAGCAAAAGGAAAAGTAAAGAAATGTCTTATTCCTCAAATTTTGCAGCTTAAAAAATTACTGAAAGTTACAGCCTTCATTCTGAGAAGAGAAAATTGTATTTTGCGAGCTTTTACAACACGAATCAAATGAAAATTGCAAATAAAGCGACCCTGAAAACAATGGAAAAGTTCTCATGAAAGACACCGGGGAACAATGTCAGTATCTGAGCAACTACGCACCTACCCCTCCCCTAACCCAACAACAGTCAACTGATAACAAGTAAGGATTAGTGTCAGGTTAAGGGAGGGGTGGGTACGGAATTGCTCGGACTCTGGCTATGACTACGAACAAATATGGATGTCGTTATAAACGAACACAATGTGACGAATAACAGATAATTTAGTGTTACCAACTGAGTTGAAAACGTAAATTGGTCGCGGTAAAGAGTGTAACGGCTGACGTTTCGAGCGTCAGCCCTTCGCCAATCGCTCTGACGAAGGACTAAGCTCAAAATATCAGCTTTTAAACTCTTTACGGTGGCCAACGACATCATCACTCCCTGGCAGCATGTTTGGTAACTAGGTTAAGACAGCCCATAAAAATAAACAAACTCAGTGCAGCTTCGTTAGAAACTACTCAGAGTCCCTTGATGGACGATATCAGATAACTTCTATCGGCCACGTTTGCATTTGATACAGAAAAAGGTTATCAAGTCTCTTATTTACAGTTTAACCCTTTAACTCTCAAAAGTGATTAACATCTTACTTCTCCCTATAATATCCGTACATTATCCAACAAACAAATAATAAGGAAACACAAACGTATCAGTAGTTGTTATCTTGATCTAACACCAAATTCTCGTCACTAGTTTACAAGTAAATGTGTGGCAGCTAAAGGAAGAGTTAATTAATCAGATCTTGGAAGTTATGTCCTCTGTTAGGTTTCGAAACATCGACATCAACTTCCTTTCCTGTCGGTAATAAAATTCACGACAACTAATAATCATTCCATATAAACAACGGGACTTTTCCTAAATTAGTCAAGCAAACAGCTGTTTGTCAAGATAACCTGGTAGAGACTTACTTTAGCTTACGTACTGCTGCCCTAGCAGCCGGACCGTTCACACGGTTTGGTCTTGAGTCAAGAATGTAGGAAGAGATGAGGCGAGGAAAGTGTCATTTAAAAGGTAAAAAACACGAATGTATGTCTAACACTGAGTCACGGGCCTTTCCTTGAGCCACTCAACTGACAAGAAACAACAACACTCAAATATCGTCTGAGCAAGTTAACATCAAATACAAAAGCGGAGAGCAATAGAATTCTTCGCATCAGATACCAAACTAAGACATTTGACGTTGACAAAAGACACTATGAGTAGCAGTACGCTGATAGAGGTGTTTGGCCATATCGTATTCAGTTTTACACGAGGCGTGACAGAGCATTACTTCCCAGAAGAACCTGAATCAATGGCTTTTGGTTACGATCCTCTACAGAGGACTGGTTTGGAATGGAACTATCAACCTGTTGAGGAGGTTATTAATCAGGAATACAGCGAGAGGGAAGCAACTTAGCTTGGATTATTTAATGGCTTGCAGTCCCAAGGTAAGAGTCATAAACGCATTCTCATCA